TTATGATGTACCGTTATGCAATTTTTTGCTCTACATGTACACTTTTTGCATATTCTTGTACACTTTTTGTATAACATTTTTATTAAAAATTCTTCATAATTACCAAAATGCCACCGTGTTTTTCACTTAAAATTTGATCTCTTCCATCCATTTTTTCATATCAATGGCCAAGATTAGTTCATATATATATATATATATATATATATATATATATATATATAGAGGAATGATCCTGTCCAGCCGGAGGGACAGGATCTTCCGTCCGGCCGCCGCCTTTTGGGGCGGTTCCTGGTGGAGTTTTTTGATGAATTTTTTATGGAATGTTCCTCATCAAGTCTAGTTTATCCACAAAAAATTTCAGCTAAAAATTCGATAGGGAAGGCAGTCAAATAATTTTTTGAAGATAACTGCTCCAACTTAAACATATAAAACGCAGTTATGTTTCAAAAAATTATTTGACTGCCTTCCCGATCGAATTTTTAGCTGAAATTTTTTGTGGATAAACTAGACTTGATGAGGAACATTCCATAAAAATTTCATCAAAAAACTCCACCGGGAACCGCCCTAAACGGCGGCGGCCGGACGGAGGATCCTGTCCCTCCGGCTGGACAGGATCTTTTCCGTATGTATGTATATATATATATATAAATATATATATATATATATATATATATATATATATAGATTTATGTTCAAATGAGAATACCATCTAGGGAGAGAAATAAGAATGAACCACATCCTTTGGATTGATTATTATTTTTAATTTACGTTTTTCTTTCTAAAGGGGTAAAAGAGATATTGTCATTTCTCTTTCGCTGCATTAATTATTTAGTAATCCGTTTAAGTAGTGGTTAGTAGTAATAATGTTCTTTCCTTATTAGTATCTTACGTACTTTTTTCTTATATATGTATTACGTGTTTATCTATGATTTTTCTTCTAAATGCATATTTTCATATCCTTAGTATATTTAAATTCAAAATTGCAAAAAAAAAAAAACATCCCAGATACATTCCCCCCCCCCCCCCCTACACAATTTATTTGTATGCTTTTAACCAACATATATAACAATGAACTTTTAATGTGTTACCTTTTCATATATCGTGAATATCATGTTTATGATACTTTGATTGTTCTAATTGTGTATTATTAATATACAATATTTGCATTACATATTTTATAATTAACAGGGGCACCTTTACATATTTTTTCTAAAAAAATACTCGTAATTAACATGAGCAAAATTACATATTTCTGTACGAGTGCACTTCTACTAATTAAGAGGTGCACTTTTATATATGATTGTCGCCCGCGGCCGCACTGGTATTAATTATTCTATTTGAACAATTGCACTTTTAGTAACTAATGGGTGCAATTTTGTATAATTTTATCGCTAATCATGATAGTATTCTTCTTAAAGATTTTCACTTCTATTAACTAATAAGTGCACTTTAGAATAATTTTATCCTAATAATGATAATGTTCTATTTGAAAAATTGCACTTCTAATAACTAACCATTGCACTTTTGCATACATTTTTAACTCTGATAATGTTTCACTAGAAAATTTAGATATTTTTCATGAAAAATTACTCAAATAAAATTTATTGATAAATATATGACCACGGTTAATTTGTGCATAACTTCACTGAGACGTAAATATAAACATAATCATAATCACGTATATGGTCATATGTACAAGAAGTCGCATTTTGTCATCATTTTATTTTAATTATATACTTAATTATAGACATGTCATTATTTCAAAATTTATAAACAATGTTTACCGTAAGATATAATTTTAAGATATTTATTGAAATGGGGAGCGGTAGATTGAATTATATGGAACTGAATTGTGCACTTGGTGAATTGAAATGTGCATTACATGATACTGAAATGTGCAGAATAAAAATTTAAACTCACGTGTGCATTAAGTGAAATGGAAATGTGCAGAATAAAAGGTACAAAAATAACATCACATCATACCTTTTATTCTGCACATTTCAATTTTACCTAGTGCACATTTCAATTTTATCTAATGCACAATTCAGTTTCACATAATGTCACTGTATCGTACTCGTTGTGTTGCACATTTCAATTTCACTTAAACACATTATTGTTTCATCTAAAGCACATTGGATTTCACATAAAGCAAACCTAACGGTTCAGATTCATTTTCATTTCTCTCCTAAGATCATGTTCTTATTTGAATCAAAATGAAACGTTGTTATATTTGATGCACATTGAAAAATTTCACTAATTTAATTAATTAATTAAATTCTTAGATTACATTTAATGCACTAATAGGATAAAGTAGGTGCACGTGCACTTGTATTTCATGAGCTAATGTGAATGTTGTGCTAGTTCTTTATATTCGAGGATGGTTTAAAATTGTAGAGCTTTAATATAGAGTAATAATAATTAGTAATGGAAATTATTTTGGATTATACCATATTGAGTGCATCCACATACACTAATAAGCCAAATACGTTCACGTGAATATACAATCATACCCCTCCTTAATATGATAATCGAATATGCATTTATTAACACTTAAATACTTTCCTTTTCAAAAACAATATAGTACGTACACTTGATATAGTTTTCAGCCGTTAGATTTCTAATATCAATGACTCTAGTTTATTCTTATTTCTCTCCTAAGGAGTCTTTCTCACCAGAACCGATCCCTATATATATATATATATATATATATATATATATATATATATATATATAGGGTGTGGTTCCAATGAGAACGGTGCTTAATGTGAGAACGTGAGAACAAATCCTGGCTTTTAATTAAGAGAATCAGACAGTTGATTAATGCGTAGGTGTACAATTAGTTCCTACGTTGCGTAACATAGAAACACATTTAACAAACTAAAATAACCATACGTGGCTTGTGCACAGGGTAAAATCGTCTACCCTTTAAAAATCATTTAATGTAGTACCCGTTCAAGGTTGTCACCTACCAAAAAATTAGGAAGAGATTAAATGTCAAATCTTAAAAAATGTTTTAGTTTTAAAATTGATTTAACTTTTTAAATTATAATCTGATTTTAACAAAAATTATATCAAATTAAATAACTTTTTATGATCTTTCAAATGAGATCCATATGACATATACAATTTTGTTTTTTAAAAAAAATGTATAATATGCACACAATAAACCACAACAAACATTATCTTCAACTATCACATGTACTATATTATGTATCTAACGCACAACTACTAAGATCTGATGCACAAGAAACAATATCCAACACACAATATGCATAAAAAAAAAAACTAAATCAAGTATCTTTAGCACAAAATCCAATGTCTAATGCACAAAGAACAATATCTAACACACAAAATTAAAAACTAATTAATATATAACATATAAGGATTTCACACAACTTAAACTAATATATAATACACTAGAATCAATATATAATGCACAATACGAATGAAAGCCCAAGAAGCAATATCTAATGCACAATCACCAATATCTAATGCACACAAAAACATAGTAGCTCACACAATTAATAACTAATATTGAACACAAGATTTCATATAATTTAAACTAATAATATATAATACACATGAATTAGTATCTACGGCACAATATGTATACTACGTATATGTTAAAGAACTCGTATGTAGCACATAATATGGACATAGAGAATTACAACAAATACATCATATCATGCACAAGAACCGGTATCAAAAGCACAATCCCAAGTGGTGCATTTGAGTGACTCAATAGTGCAATAGTGAATTGTACGGATGCATATGACTAAGTAAAATATGCAAATGTTAAGACCTAAAGTATGTTTAACATATGAAAATCATAAATGTGCAATTGATAGTCATTCGTTGTGTAGTAAGTGAAAAAACAAGTGTACATCACTATTTGATAATTACATTTGAGAAATATAAAATTGATGTATTAGCTAGTGATTAAGAAAAAAACCAATATGAAAAAATAAATACGAATGACAACCATTTCCTTTTCTTTTATTTTGTATGAACTAACAATATTTACATTCCAAGAATAGAGGACAATTTAAATTCCAGTGATTAGCAAAATGCAAAAACGTCCAAAAGAACTGAAATTGCACAAATCAACAAACCTGTTAAAGTAAAGTTCAAAAGGCAAAGTTTCATAAAAAGAAATAAATATTTTGATTGAATAAACGTAAAAGTAAACTCACGTGAGTTTATAAAAGGAATAATGCTATTCTTCCCATCCTAAAAGTGCGCAGCATTACTTCAAAGTCGATACATTCAAATCCCAAAAACTGAAATGTCGGGTTGCCAAAGTAGAAAAAGACGTATATGTCCTTTCCGTAGTCTTATTTAATCACGGATGGTTATTTGATTTTGGATGGCTGAGATTTGTTCTCACGTTCTCACGTTAAGACTCGTTCTCATTTGAACCAAAATATATATATATATATATATATATATATATATATATATATATATAGAGGAATGATCCTGTCCAGCCGGAGGGACAGGATCTTCCGTCCGGCCGCCGCCGTTTGGGGCGGTTCCCGGTAGAGTTTTTTGATGAAATTTTTATGGAATGTTCCTCATTAAGTCTAGTTTATCCACAAAAAATTTCAGCTAAAAATTCGATCGGGAAGGCAGTCAAATAATTTTTTGAAGATAACTACTCCAACTTAAACATATAAAACGCAGTTATGTTTCAAAAAATTATTTGACTGCCTTCCCGATCGAATTTTTAGCTGAAATTTTTTGTGGATAAACTAGACTTGATGAGGAACATTCCATAAAAATTTCATCAAAAAACTCCACCGGGAACCGCCCCAAACGGCGGCGGCCGGACGGAGGATCCTGTCCCTCCGGCTGGACAGGATCTTTTCCGTATATATATATATATATATATATATATATATATATATATATATATATATATATATATATATATACTATCGTATATACACAGTATTATATATACAGCTGCCCGGACCTCATTGATAAAAAAAAAAATACAACTGCCCCTGCCATCCGATTCCATAATTTCCGGCGCAGACCTTCCGGCGCAGCTCCTTCCGGCGAGGCGTTCATCAGACATTTTAAGGCGCATTCATCACTTCCGGCGAGCTACTTCCAATCAGACCAATGGATAATCAGCCTGCTGCTTCTCACGTTATCAATCCGGCTGATGCCACCGCATCAGATCAAAATCGACGGCCCTACCCAAGCAAGCGGATCCGACTACCTACCGACGTCGCCAACCGGGTCATCAGTCTCACACAGCAGCTCGGATTCCGGACGGATGGGCAGACGGTGATGTGGTTGCTGCAGCAGGCTGAGCCGGCCATCCTCGCTGCTCAGTGGACAGCAAACTACCCACCATCCGCCGCCGCCGCTTTCCAGCCCCCGATCCCCGTTCCCGGCGGCGTCTACACAGAGAATCTACCTGCCTCGAACATAACGGCGCCGCCGCTGATCACTTCCCCCGTCGTTTTCGGCGGCACACAAGCTCCGACATACTATCCCGTCATCACTACTCCACTCGTCTACCAGCCGCCGCCGCCGCCCTACAGCTGGGGTTATCCCATCCCCGGCGCTTACCAACCCCCGTACGGTGGTGGGCATCTATGATCGATCATCATCGGTCATTTTTTAATTATGTAATTTTATTTCATGATTTCATCCCATTCCGGCCAGACCCTGCCGGCCGGTGAAGTTAGATTAGTAATTAAGTTTAATTTAATTCAGCCTCTTTAATTTAATTATATGATTAGATATATATCTAAATGCAGGGTTTGATTAATTGTTGCATTTGATTATTGTCTCAAATTTATTTATTTTGTTTTGACATGTATATATCCGCTAGCTCTTGTATGTGTCTAGCTCTAGAGTAGGCGTGGTTAATTAAGGCCGGAGTGGCGTGAAAGATGATGGTTTTGGCCGGCCGGCGGCCACATGAAAGCTAGCTAAGTAATTGTATGCTTTGTATGGAGTTTAAATCTCAAATAGATAAACCTTTCAGATATGAACGACCAATAGACAACTGTTTTAGATGTCATTGCAACAAGTATATATCGAATGTGCATTAAAAAATTCAGAAATAATAAAAAAGTTCTTAAATATAATGTGAATTATTTTAAAAAATTTAACAATTACTCCCTCCGTCCCTAAATGTTTGTCCTACTTTCCTGAAAGGCTGAAATGGATGTCCCAAAATGTTTGTCCTACTATTTTCTTTCCTTATTTGTCAATTAAATCTTTATGGAACAATGTTAAACAGTGCAAAACAGTGTCACTATAGTGTCAAACAGTGTCGCTTGAAGGTAAAGTCAAATTTATTTTCTTAATATTTGTGAAGTCAAACTAGAACAAACATTGAGGGACGGAGGTAGTATTTAGTACTCGTATTATTAAAGTAATAATTAATCCCGTAAAGAAGCCAACAATTTGTGAAGAAAAATCACCAAAGATTAGCAATAAAAAAAATAAACAAATTAAAGTGTATGGTATTTTAGATCTTTGATCAATAGTTTTTAGTCATTCAGGCCTATATATACACGATTTATCCTTCAATAGTAAATCAATCTTTCATGTCCTAGATTGATAAATTCCAAAAAAAATATAAAGATAATCTAAGGGAAGAAGGGATCCTTGAATGATTTAGAAATTCATCCCGTACAACGCACATGTGAAAAATATAGTAATAAAAAGTTCTTAAATGTGAATTATGTTTGTGTAAAAGTAAATGGTGCATTTTTTTAATGATTCACTTTTATGAATATTAATGTGCACAGTGCACTCTAATGGAAATGTGGGGGGAAATTTATTGGATAAGAAATTTGAACGTGAATCGGGGCTAACTAAATCAATAGATGATGCTAGCCGTCCTATTGAAGATAAACAAGCAAGATATGTTTGAAAACATTTTCAGTGAAACTACTTAAAATTTGGAAAGAAAAATTTGTAAATTATATATTAAATGTATTGGCTAAAATGTAAAATACTTGAAAGTGCACCTCTTTAGATTTTCAAAGTGCATAACAAGTAATTTATTTATCATGCATCTTAGATATAAAATGTGCATACAGTGCCTTACGATTCGAATAAATGTGCTCCATTTTTGTTAACATTATATATTGGAAACAAGGTTTATCGTAAATACTACTATCTCCGTCACAAATTGATTTGCAAATTTGACTTTTTTTTAATCAAACAGTTTCATTTTATTTTCTTAATTACGATTTCAATTTTTAATTATATTTTAATTTGGACTTTGCAACTTTGAAGAAATTTTAAAGTAGATTCTAAATATGTAAATTTTAATTACTAAAAATTGAGTTAATTATTGATATGGAAAATTGACTAATCATTGATATGGAAGATTTACTTTTATTATTGGTTGACAAAAAATTATTGACTTTGAAAAACAATTTGTGAGGGAGGAAATATATAAATTAAAATTAATAGTACGAAGCTTTTAATGGAAAGTAATAAAAGTTCAACATGTACGTATATTTCATTTAATGGTTCAAAAGTAAAGCGGTTTTTAAGGAAATTTTTTTAATGCTACGGTTCTATATATGGTAATACTAGTAATATTATATATATTGTACTCTTTTGCCCCTACCATTAATATCGTGATACGCGTGTAATTTCCGTGTGTTTGTTTACATTTTTAGTTACTTTTTGTTGTTTAGTATTTCGGAAATTACACACTTTTGGTGTAATAGTTTAGTTCGTTAAATTCTTGTATTTAGATTAGGTTTATTCTGAGCTCAAACAGGTCTACTATCACTCAAAGGATAGTTGGTGAACCCCAAAAGTGAAAGGAAGGTGCAAAATCACAAGACAAAAGGAAAGATCCTGATTTTTGGTCTATACCCGGTCGAGTATCATATATATACTCGATCGGGTATCTTGTTGAAATTTCAAATCGGATCGGATCCGAAAACAAAGGAATATGCAGGGAAGATTTTGACCACGATCGAATGTCTATACCCGATCAACAAAAACAAAAATCGCTCAAGTGCGAAACTTCAACGATGAAGAATCGCGCAGGAGTGTTTTTCAGCCTTCAATCGATCGATCAGCTCCGGCTCTGATACCAGATGTTAGGTCCCTGTTTTCTAGTCTAGAATATGTATGTATGGAAGATAGATCTGGGAATGAAGCTTTCCATTGATGTGAAGGTTTTACAGAATGATATGAGAGTTTTTAGCCTGAAAACCTTACACGAGAATGGCACTGCGGCACAGAGAATAATCGAAAAGCTTAACCTAGCCTTTCCCTTAAGGCATATATATAGCCTGACGGGAAAGGTAGGTTTTACAATCATTTGGGCTCCTTTTCCTAGGAGGCCCATACCTAAAAAGGTATAAAACCTTTATTACAAAATTGCCTTAAAAGGCCTATTCATTATTCTAGCTAACTATAAACTAGCAAAGTAACATTGATCACAATTACAATAAAAATATCTCTAACAAAAATGATTGCTTTTCCCCGGCAACGGCGCCAAATTTGACGTGCACTTGTCGTGAGGTGCACTCAAATTAATAATACAATACAACACTTATACGTAGTATAGCGTAGTAAGGTTCGTATCCACAGGGAAAGGAATTCTTTTCTTCTTACAAGAATAAATAAGTAACAATAAGGGGGGTTTATATTTGGTTGAAGAACTTTAAATTATATTTAAACACGAAGATGAACGAGTTATGTGATTTAATTAATGAGAAGAAGACTTGGCTTTGCTTTTATCCACTTAATGAAATGTTCGTCGATCCCGGTTATATCTTTAACCATCTTCCTCTCGAATACTCAATCGAGGAGTATATCCAATTCATCGAGGGTAGTTATTAATAACGAGACGCGTTCATTAATAAAACTTACTACCGAGTTAATATAGAACACGCGCCGTATATTTACTCGATAGTAGCAATAAAATCAAGATGAAAACGATTGAGATTGATAACCTCAACACAAGCGGTTTATTGGTTTAATCAATATAATTAATTCCCCTTGACTTATTAACCATGAGACGCATGCATTAACAACCCAAGTTTACTACCGTGAAAGGACCGAGTTAATAACAAGCGTATTAATCGACCGATTCTAGTATTAATTAATATATGAAACAAAACTAGTTGATCCTTTAAGTATTGCTCAAAATATTAATATGTAATAGGAATAGGAATTAATTAATATTCAAGGAAGAAGATTAAAGAAAATAACTCACAACTTACAAATTCATTAAGCTTCAAAGTAGCAAAACCAAGATGGAAGAGTTTAGCTCCTCATTTGGAGACTAAACATGCTAAAAATATAAAGAAAGAACTTGTCTAAACTGAGCTAAGAAGTATATAGGAATTGGTGATTTTCTTGTGGAGGAAATGAGGTGTATTTATAGGCTTTTTAGGCCTGCAGGGTCGTGTACCCGATCGAGTTTTTAGCTCAACCGATCGGGTAAGGGTTAGTTTCCTCGAAAATGAAAATCTGGGGTCATACCCGATCGGGTATGTCGGCTACCCGATCGGGTATGGATACGCGATCGAGTTAGAAAATCCTCCTGCATGTTGCCTTGTTCCCGGATTTATCCGATTTGACTTTTCAGCAACTTACCCGATCGAGTATAGGGCATACTCGACCGGGTACACTACCAAAAATCAGAATCTTCATCTTTTCTTGAAATCTTTGCACCTTCCTTCCAATTGTGATGTTCACCAATGGTCCCTAGAGTGATCTTGGACCTGTTTTAGCTCAGAACCAACCTAATCTAAACAATTTACAAATATTTTACAAACTAAAATATTACACCAAAAGTGTGTAATTTCTAGAGTAAAAATCACTCAAAACTAATCAAAAACACAATTATAAACACGGAAATAACATGAATGTCAACTCCCCCACACTTAGTTCCTTTACTCGACCTCGAGTAAAACCAAATGTTTATACAATGTTTATCACAAGATCATGAGTTCATAGAGAGGAAGAAATAAGAAACTAAAACCACCAAGTATAGTGAATGAAGTTACAAAACAACATTTCCTTGGGTTTAACGGTCTTCTATGCTTCCTATTTCTTCTTTTTCTCATCTTCTCTCCTTCTTCTTCTTCTTCTTCTTCTTCTTCTTCTTCAAGAGATGGTGTCCTGCAAAATAGAACGAATTTTTCTCTCATATCTCTCATTTTGCCTAGGAGCCTTTTCAGGTTTTCATCCTAGCATCTCTTTTCTTTTCCTTCTCTTCCACTCACTCATTTTTTTATTTTTTATATATTTTTTTTTTGTAAGCCCTTGTTGCTTAGATTGCCCTTTTGGGTTTTCAACCTAACTAGCATTTCATTTCTTTTATTACATTTTTTTTTTTTTTTTGTAAAACTAATACAAGAAAATAATGCTTAGTACAAGGTAGAAATAAAGGAGTGTACATACCACAAGATGATCTTCCTCCCCCACACTTGAAGCATGGCACTATCCCTAGTGCCCGCCTTCTCCTCCGTAGTAGCCTCCTCCAAAGCCTCTCCCGTGCATGTCATCACCGTCCCCCTCGCCCATGGTAGTATCCCCGCCATTATAGCCACCACCGCCGGAACTAGAGCCACCGAAATTTCCCCAATCGGAGGGGTTATACCATGAGGGTGCCGGTGGAGGTGAGGCCATTGATGCAAACCCCCCAAGTTGGGACATGTACGAATATGTCGGCCCATACATCCTCCGGTAGTCTTCTTCATACCTTTGCATGTCGGCCGCCCTTTGTTCCTCCATCCTTTGAAAAGCCAACCGTTGCTCCTCCCGGTAAGCATCAAATTGCCGTTCTCTTGCTTGTTGCTCGTTCCGGTAATGGCCTATTTCTCCTTGAAGTTGGG